TGGCTCCAAGCCTCAGTCAGGCATGGCGTTTTAATGATTATCTCAGCGAGCTTTTGGGACTGTGGAGCCTGGGACTGTTGCTTAGCCTTCAAATTGGCGGATATTACGTAAGGGTGGGACTTGCTGAACTCTGAAAGCTCACAGGCTTTTTGCAGAAGGAAGAGGCACTTGTTCTCCAGGCGGTGTCAAAAACGGGTGAGTCTGCTTGGCTCCAAGCCTCAGTCAGGCATGGCGTTTTAATGATTATCTCAGCGAGCTTTTGGGACTGTCTGTGATTATAGGTGCTTGTTGACTCATGCATGTGATTCTTCCCGTGACTGTGACCAGTGCCTCCGGCTCTTGCACGACGAAGAGATGTCCGTGAGGTCTAACAGCATCATTCTTGCCAGCGATAACGTCAAAGAGGCGTGCGGCTACTGCGACCTGGCAGTGTGCGACTTGTTCATGACCTGTCAAAGGGGGATTCAGGAGACCGATGCAACTCGCACATGTCAGACTCGTTTCTAGGTCGACGCTTCGAAGCCGTGCCATACTGAGACGACCTCCTAGAACACTAAGTCTCAACCTGCTCGGGAATAATATAAGGGCCTTACTGACTGCAATGACCTGAAATAGAATAAGGAGCCCTAAGGATCATCGCTACATGATCGCTTCATCACACGCTGCCCGTAGTGACACTGCAGTATAGCCACCAAATCCAGAATTTAATTATTGAATACGTGCAGAGCACGCAAATCTAAAAAATACCAAGTATATGTTCCCCAAATGCTTGTTTTAGCTGTTAAGGCCCATATTTTGCCAAACTCGCCGTTTGCATATGGAGCCTCGGGGGTCTCTTTGATTGGAGGCTGGCTCAGGATTCCTCAAAAGTCCGAAGCCATGTGTGACCTCTGAGAACCCTATGGAGCATTGTGCAATGCCAGGGGCGACCTACGTTCTCATACTCATCCGAACATGTCCACGGAGCCCTGCGCAGCTCCTCCAACATGGCGATCTGAATCTCCGCCCGCGCTGACCGCAGGCGGTTTTCGACGCGCTGGCCATCAGCTTCATTGTCGAGCTTCTTATCTCAGACCGAGTTGAGGGTTGAGGCCTAACCCTGATGCCTAAGTTATTACCCTAGAGCCTTTCATTACACATGCAACTGTTGATACGAGAGTCCTGTGTGGAGTCTAAAACCCTCCTGGCCCAAACAATTCTTCAAAACAGACTGGGGATCACTAAGGGTCTTCGGCTAGTGCTTCGCATTCGCGGTGTTTCTGAAGTAGACTTTGCTAGACTTGCAGTGCCTTGGGTCTTATGTGGATCACAATCCACGCGCCAGCATGCCTTCTCAGAGAAAGAGACGAACCTACAAAAGGCAAAGAGAAGCGCCTTCTGTAGGCTTCACCTGACCTGGCATTTCCCAACCCTACACCCTAAACCCTAAACCCTAAACCCTAACCCCTAAACCCTATAGACCCTAAATCCTAACCCCTAAACCCTAAACCCTAAATCCTAAATCCTAAACCCTAAACCCTAAACCCTGGGTTGCATCGAGAGCCGACCCCTGGCCCCATGAGCTCAACTTCAAGCCCGGAGCTTCAAACCGAACCTTCGAGAAGCGAAGCCGGAGCCAAAGACCGAAATACAGTCCTAATATTTATGTATGTATGTATGTATGTATGTATGTATGTACGTATGTCAGTCATGTATGTATGTCAGTCATGTATGTATGTCAGTCATGTATGTATGTCATGTACGTATGTATATGTATGTATGTGTATATATATATATAGAATGCATATCTCTGCAGGTTTACGAGTTTTTCTCATGAGCGATTGGTATGGTATAGATTCAGGGGCCCCAGTTCTCATAAGGATATCAGAAGAGCCACATGAGAGGCCACAGAGCATGATGAAATGAACCCGGATGTCTTCAACCTGAACTGAAGGCCTGAACAGCCCAGCTGAAAGCAGGTTAACAGGGGAAACAGCAAATGTAGATCCCTCATGAAATAGACCCCTCTAAGTTAATCAGAGCTATAGTCGGGATGCTACCATTAAGGCCTAATGGAAAGAGGCGCAGAAATCGGCTGTCTACATGTGCCTTTGCTTTTCGAATCATCCGAATTGGTGGGATCCCAGAATGAATGGACCTAGGCTGGATGTGGCCATGTGGAATCTGGTGTCTTGCCTGCACTGATAAGGTTTGTGGTTAAGGGCTTAGGGCTCAGGGAGTGCACCCGTGCAAAAGCAGCAGGAGACCTTGTACTGCGTCGGGCTTTTCTACATATGTCGGGCTTCCAAGCCATGCGAACTAGGCTAAAACCATCTTACCCAGAGTCAGAGGTGTTTGCTGCCATTGAGCTTCAAGTACTATGGCATAAGCCTGGGACGAAAGGCACACTCATCGCTGCATCACCCCTGAGCCTTAAACCTATATACGGATCGCTTCTCCCATGTCCTTGGGCTGTTCGAATTCATAAACCTTGCGGTGCAGGGGTGCGGTGATTGTCTGCCAAGCACCACATTTTTTAACGGCAGCAAAAGGATAGCCGAGCATCCTAATGCTGAGCCCGATATCATCAAGCGCCTGTAACCCCCAAGACAAACCCCCAACCCTAAACCGTCCCAGGTGCGGACGATCATGCACTTAGACCAGTTTGGCGACTTTACCTTCCAGCTTTGGCCATCGAAGCTCAGCAGAAAGAAGTCGGTCTGGTCTTGCTTTTAAACCCCGAAGCATGGGAGTCTGCTCGAGTGCTCCATGATGAGAAAAATACAAACTTCCTGGAATCTAATATAAAGGCCTTAGTGGTTTTTATTTTAGGATTTAATAGGATTTGGGGTAGTAGACTGTCCCTCAACTCTAAACCCTATGCAGGCCTATGCACCAAGGAGACCCTCAAATTTCTATTTGTGATTATTGAGGCCCCGATATTTCCTGGACGGGGAGCCGAAAATGAACCCAAACCTGAATGCCTTGCGCAGTACGGAATTACGCACAGTTGAGGGTGTAGGGTCTAGGGTCTAGGGTTGTGGACTGGACCGTATAACGCCTCTAATTCTAAGCCCGAATTCCGAGATTCTGGCACCTTTGATACGTACCCCGAATCGTAGTCTCAGCAGGCTATAGGGCCCTCATACTGGTAGCCGTGCGGTCATGAGAACAATCAACATGCCAAGAAGTGTATAGAGGCAATTATACCAATCTCGGAATCGTCGTAATCGCAACGAGTCGGAGGCTTGTGTACCGTGCTGATACCCGGACGCCCTGAATTCGATAAGCCCGCCGAAGTTACGCGAAGGCCGACTGATAAGCCCTCCCACCAAAGCCACGTAACAAAAGGCCTTGGATACTGCCCCCGCCCCCCACTCATTAGCAGTTGGAGATTTTGTATACATGTATATAATATAGATGTGATAATGTCCTGAATCGTGCCCTCATTACAGACTCCTACTGTATAGGCCATGGTGGCCTTCGACGAACTGGCCTCAGATAGACCAAGGAGTTTTTCGAGATCTCAAACTCAAACCGATATCCTACCCCGCAATCCCAAAACCAACCCCCCAAACCGCAAGCCCTTCAACCACTAAACCCCAAACCCCATAAGCACTAGAAGCTCTGTAAACCCCAGAAGCCCCAATAAGTAAGCCCCCGTCAGGCCCAATATAGCCTAATCCCTAGTAAGATCGTCCCTGGGAGACACGAGATCTCGCCTGCCTAGGGACCGGCGCACGAACGCGATGCGGGAGTCCTGGATAGCCAGAGCCCAAGGCGGGAAGCAACTCGCGGGTAACAGAGACGCTGAAATTATGAATAATTAGCACTACTATTCCTTGAAATTTTCTTGTTGTGTTTGTATTATGTTATGTCCAAAACGCCGATTCTAGCTGAGACCCCTACATGATTCACGGCTGTTCCTTATGGCAAGAAGGCCGACTGAATATTCGAACAAGGCTGAATGTGAGTAGGGGTTGGGGTAGAACGTTACATCGACGCCCCACCAGCTTAGAGGCCCACGTTCATTGGGGGGGCATGGCACAGTGTGGGATGTTCTGGGGTCGAGCATCACGCTGGCTCGCCATGCGAGTCCCGCTGCGAAGGCGCGCGCAGTGTCCTCGTCATGCGTGGGGTTTCAAGGCAGCAACTCTACTTCCCATCACACTCCGGGCAGAAACTCCGACTCCCAAGCTCAGCTACAGTCCGGAGAGCGTTGCAAGTAAGTATGTCGCCCCCCAAAAGAATGACCAAAACCCTGCCCTGCTGTAGAGAGCCCAACTTTATTGAGGATTTCGCGGCACAATGTCCCTAAACCCTAAGTAAGCCCGACCCGGAAAGAGGCCTCAGATCCCCGAAGGCTTGGTGAGGTTTAGGCGTTTAGGACTATCGATAAGTTTAGGGTCTAAGGTTTAGGGTTTAGGGTTGCCCTGACTCTCCGAATACCCCAATGCAGGTAGTGTTTGTAGGGTTGTGGAGGCAAAGTAGTATCTGTACTTGGTATGCTTGATATTGGAACCCCTGGAGTCGTAGGCCGCCGTAACCTCTGTATGTAAACATGCCAGAGGATGGATGGAAGAGTCCACGAAGCATCAATGTAGCCCTCATAAGAAACGTCTGGTTCATATAAACATCTGGGTAGTTAGTGTTACCATCCTACATGCATACACTACAACATACCCTCCAAGCCTTATTCTACTAGTGAATGACCTTATATTATGGGGCTTCAGGCCGTTTACTGGGTTCCGGGTAGCCTCTTTCGTGAGGTAAACACTATACAGTGCCTCTGCAATCCGCTAGTCTCCCCGAAACTGCCACCTCCGAAACCCTAAACCCCGAAAACCCCAACCCTAAACCCTAAACCCCTAAACCCCTAAACCGTAAACCCTAAACCCCTTGAACCCCTAAACCCAAAACCCCTAAAACCCCTAAACCCTTATGACCCTGAATAAGGTTCGCTACTTCGACTGCGACATGCTCCACAGAGGGAAAGGCCGATCGCTAAGACCAGGAAGTAACACTACAGCCGAGCCATCGGCCCCTTAGTATTTCCTTTTGGGGATTTAGGGTTTAGGGTTTAGGGTTTAGGGTTTAGGGTTTAGGGTTTAAGGTTTAGGATTTAGGGTTTAGGGTTCAGGGGTTGTAACTACCCATAGGCCCCATAGTAGTTCCTTTTTGGGGGTTACCTTATAGGGTTCTAAAGATGAACCCCAAAAAGGAACTACTTTACGGCCTATGGGTACAGCCTCCCCCACCTCGGCATCGACTTGCATGTTCGCGGGGGTGAACCGAAAGATAAGACTGCTAAGTTTGGCCACAAGACTCTTTAAACTGTTGAGGATCGAAGCCCGCTTCCACAAGCTTGCAGTGCGACAAGGATAGTCAAAGAGCCTGCGCTCTGGTATCTGCGGCGTTTGCCGGCGATGTTCTCAGACCATTCGTCCTGCCCAGTTGGCTTGAGCCTTTTCGTGTCTTCAACTCTCAACCACCGTAAATCCCGTAAACCCCGAACCGTGAAGCTTAGAAAGGGAGTCTAAAATGTTCGGATATCGAAATCTCCAGCTCGCAGGTGATCCGGACCTTAAGTCTTGCACCCTGAGTTTAAGCTAATCAAAGTAATTGCCCCGAAACCTGAACTCCGCTCCCAGTCCCGCCCTGCTACCGCAAACCAAAACTCTTCGGGGAGACTCCTCGTGCCATGACAGAGTCTGAGTCGTCGGTACCTGAGCCGGCAGAGTCGCGGCCACGCATCGTTGAGGGTGAAACGATGCTTGTCGGGGTTGGAGCTCTCAGAGGGAAAGAACGACATGTGCAAAATAGATCTTAAAGATAGCGGTTTCAATTTCCAGATGTGAATTCAGGAGTCACTTTATTGTTTGTTTTCTTGGCACTGAGGTTGATATGGCATTCCACCGAGGTCTTCGTGGAAAATCCCTGTTCGGGATGGGCAAACGGCACAGAGGTGGAATCCTCGTGGAAAGCTTTGCCGCACGGGTGGCAGTTTCGAATTTTGGTATACCCAAACGGGAGGCTGCCAGAGGACCAGTGGTTTGTGAGCGCCTTTATGTATGTTCGCCCGCCTGCTATGATGCAAGGGAAGGAATGGATCTTTCCGAATCTGCAGCAGATGAGATGGTTTACCAAGGACGATTTTGAATTGTACAAAAACAGGACTCTCCCGTTTACGTTATCCAACTCGGGTGATTCTGTTGGTTACAGAAAACTTGTTAGCCATAGCACAATCCGACAGAAGAAGTGGGTCACAGCTGGCAAGCTTCGCATTGTGTGTGAAGCGGCTTTCCTGCCCAGCAACTCCTCTTGCCCAGATTTGCCCGCGGACCTTTTCTCCAAGGAACCGGAGTTCGTCACGTTCCTTTTGGCCGACGGGTCGAAACTCCACCTTGACAAGAGGCTAGTGGTAGAGCGTTCGACGCATTTCGCGAACATGCTGTCATCAGAAACATGGGTCGAGGGTCGCACCAATGTCATCGACTTGCGGAGCAACGAGCAGGCGGATGTAACCAGCATGCAGGCAGTTCCTCGGTTAAAGCTTTGCAGCAGACTTGTCAAGCCAAGCATTTTGCGTACTGTTCTTCTTTCTCAATAACGGGATGATGCGGAGTTGACCGTCACCTGAGGTCCTTTGTCATTTCATGTCGCAGCCCTTTCGCGCTGCCTGCAACATTGAGGTCGCATTTTCCGTCCGGAAGCTTGCAGATCAGTTTTGCCTAGATGCCTTGGTCCAGGAAGTGGAAGGAGAGCTCGTGCCAAAAGTTTGCAAGGACAACGCCCTTCAGTTTCTGGGTCAGGTCATCGGAAGTGGAGGCATCTTGGAGGCCCGGTGCCTGGAGCTGGTAAAAGCGCATGCGAGCGAGCTCCTTGAAAAGCACCGATCCATGTTGGACGAAATCGTGGATGACAACCCGGCCCTGACGAAGTTCCTGTTGCGAACCCTGCTGAATGCAGCTCGAGCGGCAGGAGTCTGAGGGGCGTCTGGCGCTAGAGCCTGTGGCACTCGAATTGCCTGCGCTAACGCCAAGGGCCCATGTACCCAAATAGTACACGTGTTGGCTCCAAAATACCTTGAAAGTATATACTGTTCGGGTCCATGGACCACTAGGGTGAGCCCCTCAGCTTTTTTACGCGCAAGTGCGGGTGCGGCCACACAGAAAAAGGCTATTAACCAATCACTCCAACTGCTATTAACTAACACTTACACAGTCAGTAATGCTATTCCTCCGCCAGTCTGCACGAAGATGCCGGAAAGTAATCCATCAGCTTTCGAAGACTCCTCCGTCGCTCTGCGTTGCCTGTTTGAGTCCCCTAGAACTCCTAATGCATTGGGGCTTCAGGAAAGGGACGCGGGGTGCAATCTAGTATAGATACTTAGAGGAGCATTTTCGGGGCATAGAATATGTAGTGTTACTAACATAAGAACTACATTCATACAGATGATCTTACCATTCAATGACGGCCAATACGGTTTTGGCAATTCACTGAGCATTTTATTCCCTAAGGATTCGGTCACAAGCCTTCTAGTCTGAATACCGTAAAAACTCTAAACGCCGAATAAAATAAGACCCCAACCCCAAACCCCCAAAACCCTACTGTAACCCTTATAAACCTAAACCCTAAAGGAACAGCACGAAGCAACCATCTGTGACAGGTGCACGGCGGCCCTATCCTCAGTGTTCAGGGTTTCGGCGAATCGTTTGCTATCGGGTTATGCAAATTCTGAGGTCTTGCTCTGGGGGTATTGGATTCATGTCTTCAGTCGCGGCTTCGGAAGCTTCATGATCAGCGGAAGAGACAGGACCTCTTGTGCTCAGTGCACCTGTAGGGTGGGGGAGGTCCCGCTTGTTGCTGCATCATTGCCGGTGAATCTGCGTTACAGTGCTTGGGGCTCTGAGCTTGCTGCCGGGCCCCGCAAAACCCCCAAACACCTAAACCAGAAACCCTGGACATCCTTGAGCTACAAGAGAACCCCAAACCCCAAAGCCCTCAAAGCCTAGAACCTATGGAAGCACTACCTACTAAGCCTCCTACCTGCTTTTTTTCGGGTTAGTCTTTTTAACCGGGTTATTGGTGTATTTTACGGGTCAAACCTGAAAAACCGGGTTTTCCCATCCCTGCCCACCTTCTGGAAGGAGAAGACGCATGGCAAAGCGGCTCACACACCACATCTTTTATTCGACACAAGAAACTTCGATCATCTGCGGTCGCAGTTAAAGCAAATTAAGCATCGAATTGAGCCGGGTGTATACCATCATTCATCAGATCATATGGCGATCGCCAGCTTCGAAGCTTTGCGAAATTACGAACAGTCGAATAGAAATCAACCGCAGCTTTAACCAGCACTTTAGCACAAATGGTCCATCAGTGTATCATGCCGGCTGAGACCCATGCAGACCTTGCAGCGATAAGGAAGCGCTGCAGGGTACGTAATGCCGGAAGGCGAGGTGAAACACGCCTACTGAGACGGGAGGGTCGTCCTATAAAGTCCTCCTCTTGCTGATTCCCCATTATCATGGGGTTCAGCATTTTGTTTTTAGTTTTGCACTGGTCGACCATGAAATGGATAAGATGGTCTAAGGCATGGACTTTCGGAAGCAGCGGGTAAAGTTGCCTTCCGGATTCAAAAGACTTCTCGGCCAAGACCCGGTACAGATACATGAAATGCATACCCTGGCGAGCTATGAAGAATCCTCGCTCCTTATCCACAAAAACTTCACTGCGGTATAGAAGGCGAACAAACCGGTTCAAGAAAGATACAGCTTGTCCAGACAAATGGAGCAAACTGCCGTCCGGGATGCGATCAGCATTCTGCCAACACAGTGCTTCAAACCAGGAACAGAACTGCGTTGTCAAGCTGCCTTTGTTCCATGCTCCAGCTGGTTCATCAGCCTTTTTCTTCCATGTCAAAGTATCTTTTGTAATCTTTGTAATGAATGGTGCAACCTTGTTTTGCCTGCACCAGTGGTGGTAGCTTGCCGTCATCAGTTCCAGCTGGCCCACAACCCCACGAGCGTTGAAGAGCGCCAGGGCCAACGTCATAGCGCTACTGATGAAACTCTTGCCGGTCCCCATATGTACAGTGTGCCATATATCAATTTTGAAGAAAGAGGCTGGGAAGGCCTCATTGTGAGGCAGGTGTCGAAGAAGTTCAGGTGTTTGAGCCCATGGTAAACTGGCACCCACGGTACATTTCCAAACAGGCCGCTCGCAACCAATCTGCTCGAAAGGTATCCTTCTCATACCAGCTTCGCACAAATGGCAAACTCCAGCAGCCGCCTGTTTCGATGTTTTTTTCTTCGGCCCATGGTTGAACGACCTCAGAAGTTTAGCACAGCGCACATGCGCTGGCCAATCAGCTTTCACCCCGAGAATGCAAAGGCGATAAACTCGACCACTGGAACTTGCTCCTGAATGGATGCACGACTGGAAATCTTTCCCAACCATGTCAAGCACATCATCAAGCAGCTGCTGGTTCTTGTCGTAATATTTCTTCGGTATAACCGCCAAAAGGAATCGGTTGGTCAACGTGGAGCCAGTATAGTTGACACGAAATCGTACAGCATCCCCATCTCTGCCGCGTTTTTTTTGCTTGCTGAAGCCAAACCCCAATGCCGAGTGGAATGACATAATCATTATCCCAGCCCGCTTCAGAGTCCGGCCTTCGTCCAAGTGAAGATAGCATGCTGCAGTATGCGCTAGCTCGTCCTCGGTGAGCCTCGAAAAAACCTGGTTGTCAGGTTCTAACGATCTGTACTGCCTCCAAAAGTTTGACCAAACTTTTTCAGACTGCTCCTCGTTGGGCCGTTCCAGTCCTGCAAGCCGATGCCACTGGTTCACGTCGGTGATCAAAAAACTGAGCCAGTCTATTGAACGAATAAAAGGCAACATCTTACCTCCCACACAAACATTCGTTATCGGAACTCGCAGGGCAAGGCCCTGAGATTTCACTGTCCTGTGCACATCCCTCTCGGAATGGGAGAGGTTACACCGGGCCCACCTCTCCACAGAAGCAGGGGTAGCTGACTTCAGTTCCTTCTCAACAGCCTTGGCAGTGTTGATCATCGAGACGCAAGTGGCCTTGGCAAGAAGAAAAACGACAAAACCCCAAGACTGGAATAGCAGTGGTTGTGTTAAATGGAACTAGCACCTGGAATTATGTATGGATTGTAGCACCGCTTAGCTATAATGGCTACTTATGAAACTTTAAATACAAGCTTGGGCAGCTTCAGAATTTCATTTGATGAGGCATTTGTATTTGCACTGTGTGCAAGCCTCATGAGGCTTGTGTACAGTCATAGACTTCGATTCCAACTGGTATTCATGGCTGCACCCGAATACACATGCAAGGAGCCGTCTCGATCTCCGGTACAGGGAAAGTACGTGGTAGTATGCACATGTCGCAAGACCTATACCCACTCACCTTTAACAGAAAATATAGACAAGCTCTAGCAGCGCCTAGAAATACAATTGAAGCTGCCGACATCAAGTGTAATAGCAGAAAGATTGTTTTCTCGAGTCGGACCATTTGCAAACTCTTTCCCACTACGTATTTCGAGATCATGTACCCGAATTTTGCTGCTACATATGTAAATGCCCACAACACTACTGCAGTGGCTGTTGTAAGTATTGCTATACTGCTCGAGCTCAAGATCTCAAATCCATCGACATGTAGAGAAGGCCGCCTTTGCAAATTTACAGGCTATACGGTTGGTTTCGAATCTTATAGAAGCTGGTGGTTCTGATTTAGTGGGTCGACTCCTTGTCTTGGCCAGGAAACGATGGTCTAAACCCCTCACTCGCGATCTTCTCTATCCAGAAGTTGTTGTGACGTCGTAAGATTCTGATGACCTCGAGCTTATTGGTCTCCAGGCATAAGACTGTACATTCTAACAACAGGACATGCTTGAGGCAACAGGATAAAACTCCCCAAGCCCTACACATGCATGCGTAC